GTATGTATATATGTATGCATGCATGCATGCATGCATGCATGCATGCATGTATGTATGTATATGTATGGGTGTATGTCTGTATGTATGCATGCATGCATGTATGCATGCATATGTATGTATGTATGCATGCATGCATGCATGTATGTATGTATGTATGTATGTGTGTATGGTTGTATGTATGGTTGTATGTATGTATGTATGTATGTATGTATGTATGCATGCATGTATGTATGTATGTGTGTATGTATGTATGTGTGTATGTATATGTGTATGTATGTATGTATGTATGTGTGTATGTCTGTGTGTCTATCTGTCTGTCTGTCTGTCTGTCTGTCTGTCTGTATGTATGTATGTGTATATCTACATATGTGTGTGCATGTGCGTTTGTGTGTATGTGTGTAATTATGTATGTATGTATGTATGCATGTATGCATGTCTGTTTGTAGTGTGTATATATGTATACTAGAACCATATCGCGCGCTTCACGCGCGCTCAAGTTCTAGCTAGCTTGATCATGGGATCTCGTGTTTGTCGCTTCTTGCATCCAGGGACTCTCTTGGAGGCCCTGCGCAAGCCTCGGAACCATATAGGAGGGGAACTGCAGAAACGCGGAAAGCATGAATTCCCGTTAGGTATTCAACAATTTGGGGCCCTCAAAGGCTTCCTGGTTTGTTTCCTTGGAGCTGAGGGGGGCCTTGATTGTGGTCTGTTGTGCAAGAATAGACATGGGGCGAACTTGAAAAACAAAGGAGTTGTGTGATTTCATTTTTTTTCAAGTTGCCGTGCTTGGGCAGTGGGTTAGAAGTTTTCTGGATACAGGCCACGGTCCGTTGGGATACCTCTCGGGATCTTCGTGCAAAAATGAGCAGGTGGTGAGTTTGACATAAAAGGGATCTAAGTGTTTCAACTCATGGGATCAAGGGATCTCGATTTCTACGGTGGTTTCAGGGGCAGCCAAAAAGACGCGAAGACGATCCAAGAGAGTGTCAAGACAGCGTCAGAGAGTTTAGCAATATTCCCGAAACATCTTTGCATGTGACTCCGAAGTCTTGATGGGGTTCGAAAAAACGGATAAGGAGTAAGAGTCCCAACTTGAAAAAAAAGGGAAACTCTGGAACTCCCTTTTTGTTCAAGTTCCTCGGTCTTTGAGCCTTGGAGGCGGGAAAACGTGAAAGGCGAAAAACGTCGACAAAAACCACTGGAGCTCAACGATGTTACCCTCTTTCGGGCTCTCTCGGGACGGCTCTCGAAGCTCTCATGGGCTGTTTGGGGGGCCTCGTCTGGGCTTGTTTGGGGGCCTCTTGGGGGTCTGGGGTGTGTTGGAGGCCTCTGGGGGGTCCCGGGGTCCTGTCGGAGGTCTCTGGAGGCCTCCTGCTCCCGTTCTTGGGCTCATCTTGGGCCTGTTCCTCTTGGGCGGGTTTGGGGCGGTCTTGGGGGCGCCTTCGGCCGTGTTAGAGCGTTGGAAGCATAAAAGGTGAGAAGGGCCAAAACAATGAACAAAAAGCAATGGCAATTAAAGATTGTAAGTTCTCCAGGCGCTCTCGGGAAGCCTCTCGGAGCTCTTTTGAGGTCTCTTGGGGGCCTCCTGGGAGCCTGGAGAGCCGCCCGGAAACTATTCTGGGTTGCTTGGGAGCGTCTTAGGCAGTTCTTTTACGTTCTGGGAGCTTCTTGGGGTCGTCTTGGGCTGTCTTTGGGCGGTTTGGGAGCTCCCCGGGAGGCCGGGAAGCGTGGTACCGGGAGCGCAATCGAGGTGTAGGACGCCCAGGGAGGTGGCCCGGCCTATCTATTTATATTATACCGGAGCCTCTTGGGCCGTCCTCAAAGCCGTGAAGGCCGAAAAGTCGCGTACGTTACAATGTACGTTTCCCCATCGGAATTCAACGATTTTGGCTTCTTAGGACCCTCCTGGGAGTGCTCTTGGAGGCCTCTTTTTTTTCAGATCGCTCAGCCTCGCCATCCTCTTTGCCGTCTCCTTCGGTTGCGCGGCGGGTCAGCCCCTCTGGCCATCGGGGTGGGGGCGCCGCGGGAGAGAGGTCGCCCCGCCGCTGTTCGCCGCGCCCGCACGAGCATCAGGCGAAGCTCGCCTCTGCAACGGAGAAGACGGTTGCGTTTCGAGCCGCCTCGGACGATACCTGAAGAAGGGAGTTGCGGTGAGCACAGGCCTCCGAAGGCTTCGTTGCCTCCGTGTGATCCTCTTCTCCTAGCAATCCTCCAACAGCAAACCCGGAATGCCCAAGATGCTTGACGTAGAAGTTCAGATACTGAGCCCCGTCCTCAGTGCGCCCATGGGCAACTTTCACCTGCACCTTCCCAAACTTCAGCCACTTCGGCTGATCATCATGCACACTCTGAGCTTGGAAACAGAGACCGCTCGTCCCTTTTGCCTCCACCCACTCCCCTGTGATATTCAGTTCTTGGAAATACATGTCTGCACATTGTCCGCCCATTTGGCGCGCATCGGCCTGCACGCGAAGCAATGCGTTCTTGTGCCTTCCACGAGGGATGTTGATCAGAACATGCTTGCCCGGTTTCATCAAATCGAACCTCTGACCAAGAACGTTCTGCAAATGGGGATCGCCGGTGGCAGCCACGGCACCGCCAGCCCCACCCGCCATGGGAGCTCCAACAGGAAACGTCGGATGTGGCGTCGGCCAACCCAGAGGATACGTCGGGCTGGGCGTCGGGCTGGGCGTCGGGAAGGCGGTCGGGTAGGGCGTCGGAAAGGCAGTGGGGTAGGCAGTGGGGTAGGCAGTCGGGTAGGGCGTCGGGTAGAGTGTCGGGTAGGGCGTCGGAAAGGCAGTGGGGTAGGCAGTGGGGTAGGCAGTCGGGTCGGGCGTCGGGTAGGGTGTCGGGTAGGGCGTCGGAAAGGCAGTGGGGTAGGCAGTGGGGTAGGCAGTGGGGTAGGCAGTGGGGTAGGCAGTGGGGTAGGCAGTCGGGTAGGGAGTCGGGCTGGGCGTCGCGGCGCTGCACGCCTGGATATTCGTGACATAGTGCCAGTTGGTAGCACCACCCGTTCTTGCAGTGAAGGCCAGCTGCTGACTACCAACGGGCGACGCGTAGCCATTAATCGTAGCGGTCCTATAGTAGTAGCCGTTGTCGAAGTTCAGAATCACACTGGCACCGCTGCCGCTGGGCGTGACCTCCACAATGACGTCATGCCAAGTGGAGTCCTCGAAGAGGGGCACTTGGTGAGTCCAGTGGCCCGAACCTATCTGTTCAAAGATGGACCCTCCATTCCAACCCATCAACACGCCATGATCATCCCCGTTTGAATAGGAGTCGAAGCATACAGAGAAGCCACTGCCAGCAATGTCTTCGCCAAACTCGCCAGAGTCATAACCGCCGTACTTCATGCACATGCCGTCAGCGCCTGACCCACCGCCCATCCACATGTCGAAATTGATCCTGAATCCTCCCGAATTTGCCCACGTGTAGTATGCCCGCCCACGCTGGCTGCCCTGATTGTTTGTCAACACGATGGTACTGCCAGACAGATAAGAGTCGTACTGGTAGGTGAAACTGCTGGCTGCGATCGAGGAACAAGACCACGAGCGATCTGTCTGCAAATGTCCCGTCGCGTTGCCACCGGCACCCGTCTGAAGAGAAACTGCGGTAGGTACGCTGTGGAGAAGTACCCCCACCAGCCACGCGGACCAGTGTGCCATGCGGACTGAATGGCAGAATTCGCTTGCGCGAAAACCGAGATATACAAGGTGGGTGTGTAATGTACGATCACGGACTGTACCACGATACAAGCCTTGAGCCAAAATGGCTACGGAGGGGAGTGCTCTTGGAGACCTCTTGAGACGCCTCGGAGCCTTCTTGGACCGTCTTGGGGCCATCTTGGGCCGTCTTAGGCGACTCGGGGCCTTCTTGGGCGCCGTCTTGGGGCCAACTTGGCCGTCTTAGGCGGCCCTTGGGCCGTCTTGGCGCCCTCTTGAGCTGGCTCGGGGGCATCTTGGGAGCGGCTTGGGCTGTCTTGGGGAAGTCTTGGTCTTGGGAGCCTCTTGGAGCGTTTTGAAAGCCGCGAGAGCTGATAAGTCGTACATGCTAAGAAAATACGTTGTCCCCCCATCGGAATTTCATGATTTGGGCTTCGTAGGTCCCTCTTGGGAGTTCTCTGGGGGGTCCTCCTTGCACGTATAGTGCAGCTCGGGACACTCTTGGAACCCTCCTGGCTCGTTGTGGCACCCTCTTGGCCACTCCGGGCCGCCTCTGGGACGCGAAACGGGGGGGGGGTATCAGCGGGCTTCCGCCGATGGCTGCGGGGTCGGCCCGCCCAGGCAAGGGGGGGGGCTATTTATTTATCTCATGTGTGTGTGTGTGTGCTTGTGTGTCCCTGCCCCTCTCTCTCTCCTTCTCTCTCTCCTTCTCTCTCTCTCTCTCTGTCTCTCTCTCTCTCTCTCTCTCTCCCCCCCGCTCTCTTTCGCTCTCTCTCTCTCTCTCCTTCTCTCTCTCTCTCTCTGTCTCTCTCTCTCTCTCTCTCTCCCCCCCGCTCTCTTTCGCTCTCTCTCTCTCTCTCTCCCTCTCTCGTTCTCCCTCTCGCTTTCTATATACATATGTATTTTATATAGATATCTGTATATAGATAATAATATGTGTCGGTGTGTGTGTGTGTGTTTAAATGGTTTGTCTGCTCTGTTATCTCTCCTTCTGTGCATGTATGTGTACATACATACACCAGTATACGTGTGTATGCATATGCCCCACTGTCTTTGTGCAAATATACACAGCTGTGGACACGGATGTACAAACATATAACCTATATGTACATGCAAGTGCTTGCGTACGGCGTCCCATACATGTATTCATCTACGCACGTACGTATTTATGTATGCGGGCATGGGTATACAGATGTTTTCTTTCTCTCTTCATCCCTGTCGTTTAGTCTGTCTTTGGTTTCCCATCTCTCTCTCTCTTTCCCCTGACCCTCCACCTCTCTGGAATCCGCCCCTCTCTCCTCGTCCCTTCATTGTCCCTTCTCCCTCCCCCGCGCCCAC